GGGAAGAAGAAGAAACAAAAATCAGCTCCTATTTCAATTTTGAAGGATATTTTTCACTTATTATAGAATTCTGTGTGGACCAGTTTTTTTTTCCTTTAAGCATTTAAAAAGTTGTTTTTTTGACTCCTGTCTCCCATTATTGCTAATGAAAAATTAGTTGTAATTCAGATTCTTGTTCACTTATATTTAATGTATCTCTTACCTTTGGCTACTTTAGAGATTTTTCCCATCTTTGGTTTTAAACAGTTTGATCATGATGTATATAGGTGTGATATGCTTCATATTTATTCTGCTTAGGGTTTTCTGAACCTCTTGTGTTTTATCATATTGGACAAATCTAGTGCAGAGTTTTTTCATAAACATATGTAATCTCACATTTTCTTTCTTGTTTCTTTTTGGAATTCCACTTGCACATATATTAGACTACTTGGTATTGTACTACAGATATCTGAGTTTACATTTCTTTAATTTTCAATATTTTTTCTCTCTGTACCTCAGATAACATCTATCTTTAGGTTTATCATCCCTTTCTCCCACCAGCTCATTCCATTATTATTCCTACTGAGTGAATTTTTCATTTCAGAAAAACAAATTTCATTTGTTTCTGATGGTTTTCATTTATCTACTGAGATTCTCCATCTATTTGTTCATTGAATCATGTTTTCCTTTAAATGCTTGAACATAATAAAAGCCATTAAAATGTTTCTTTCCACCAGCTCCTATATTTGGACCATCTCAGTTTCTTTTGACTGCTTTTTCTTGAGTACAAGTCACATTTCCTTGGTTTTTCACTTATTTGTTTATTGTATGCATAACATTATAAATTATACAATATAGTCTTCCTTTATTGGGTGTTGGATTATGTTGTCTTTCTTTAATAAGTGCTGGTTTTATTCTTGAAAATTTCCCTTGACTTATCTGGGTTTTGTGCCTTGTTTGAGTATGTGATGTGGGGAAACAAAGTTTTGAATTTTTGACCTAAAACATACGTTTTACACAAAGGAGTGTCCCTCACATTAAAGAGATGGTCTTTCTAACATCTACAGTGAATGGCTGAAAAGCTTAATGATGTTCTCCACCCCACTGAGATGAAACTTGCATGTCTTTCAATACTGTGTAATATGAAGTAGGCAGTCTCTACTAGGCTGTGCAGAATCTGAATATGTCTATATTTAGCTCAGCTCTCGGCCGAAGACTCATGGTGAATCTCCATTTAGACTTTTAGGGCTCCCTATTTCACAGTTACCTACTCACAGATATGCTACTCCACCAATTTCACCTGTTTCAACAACTCAAAATTTCAATTTCTCCCTAAGATATGGGTTCTACTTTCTTGCACCCCAGGGGAAAAAAAAGTGCCTTTCAGCAGAAAAACTAAGACAATTATGAGATAGTTATGGAACATCCATGCTGGAAGCAAGTCTTTGGTGTACATTTAAATGCATACTGAGATTTAAATCACTGATACTTTTAACTTTTTCTAAGATGAATTTCTGACAAAGAATAGGTAAGAGTGCACTTAACAAAAATTTTAAGACTGACTAAAGAGGGAAAGGGACAATGTTTTTAAGTGCATTGAAAACAAACTTAAAAATTTAAACTTAACCTATATTATGTATATGACACTCTTAGTTGGATAGAATTAAAAAGTAAAAAAAAAATTACAGTGACATATATTCTATGTTGGTGATATGTAACCTATGGTATATGATACTCGTAGATTTAGAAAATAAAAAGATGTAATTTTTTTCTTTTCCATCTTGACCCATCCCACTAATACAAAATGTTCTCTCTTAAGGTCACTGAATCTAAGATGGAGATACTAGACCTTTGAATCATTGGTTAGTGAGTAGCTAAATTGGGAGTCACTGCCTTAGGAAGAGGCCAGTTCAGACTGAAACACAAATGACTATTTGGTTGAAGAAGTAACTCTCCATTTTTAGAGGGTGGAGATGGTTTGGTAGTAAATTAGTTCTCTCTCTGCCCTGGGAGATTAGACAAACAATGGATCTAACTAAGAAAATAGACTGACTCATTTGGCTACAATGCTATATTGAAGTTATAAGCAAACTAACATTAATCTCCAGAAAGAGAATCAGGTTCTGTATACTATAAATGAGTTTTACAGTCAATTCTGAAATTTCTCATTGAATTAGAAAAAAATCAGATTATATAGATCTAGCAGCACTCTGAACCCTGCCTTTCTTTACCTCATCATCTGCTATAGCATAGCTAAAGTCGTATGCAATTTACTTCATTGCTTATTAACTCCTCTTTAGGTGGTAGTTTTTATTGCAAGAGAAATGAGGATTGCAATAACTCTCTTTCCTCTTAATTTCTTGATTATTTCCCAACTTCTTCTAGTAGTTGAACACACGATCTTCAAAGTGAAGGGTTCATCTGAAGGACAGGTACAGATGAGGACAGAGGAAAGTCAGATACTCTATGCAGGACGAGAGGTTGCACAGGGCTAATAATGGGTCATTAGTGAATAGGGGTGAAGAATGAAGGGAACTATAATCACAGATCTGGAAGAGACAAGTCATTGGGTCCAGACTGCTCTAGACAGGTCAGGAAGGGGTGTTTGGGTGGACCTCTTTTTCACATCTGGATTTAGCTTCTCTTGAACTTTTCAGCTTTTGCCTTTTACCCAAGGCTGATTTCTTCTCTGCAAGTCATGTGGTGCTTCTCCTGCCCCAGGATGAAGTCCTTTGGAGTGGATTTAATTAGTTTTGGGGATGGTCCGTTCTTTTTCCACGAGGTCTATTTCGGGTTTAGGTCATTCCACTGGCCTCACCAACTACTGAAGGGCAGATGTCCTGGCCACTCAATAATTCCCCAGGCGGAGAAGAAGGACCTCTAAGCTGATGGTCACATTCCTTGTATTTCTAACTTCCCTTAGCTTTAAGCACAGGAGGTGCCGAGGTGGGTGGAACTTGGGAGGTGAGGAGTTTTTTTTAGGTAGTTTCAAGTCTCATAGTCCATGAGAGAAGCGTACGGCTGCCTACCTTTCCCAACATACACAACCACACCCCTACGTTATTTGCTGTAAAAGTGAAATTCTGGCAACTTATGGTTCCTCTGGGACCACTCATTTCTTCCACGTGCCCCAAGTGTCTGGATTTACTACAAAGACAGGACAAAGTAGAGTGGAAGTAAATTGTAGCTGATTCTTTTTCTTCATCCAGGAAAGTGGTTTGTGAGCATAAGCAAAGAGGTAAATGAGATTATTTCTTGCTGTTCGGTGCCTATCATATCACTCACCCCTTTTTACACATCACGACCAGCATGTGCACACGCTGTGAGCAGAAATGCAACCCCCACCCTCTCCTGCCCCGCGCCCTCCTCACCCCTCCCTCACGACCGGCACAGACCGACCAGAACTTCCCCTGGGTCGTGGCCCAGCGATATGAAGCGGCCCTGGCGCAGAGCCCTGCTCTTCCCGAGTCGTGGGTGGCGCGGTGCTTGTTTCCCTCCCCTCCCTTTCCGGACCCAAACAGGGATGTATCTGGGTCAGGCTGGGAGGGGCTGGACCTGCCAGGACCGGCGGGGGGGATGGGGGTGGCGATGACAGCATCTTTCAGGTTTTTGGCGTTTCTGAGCTTGGCCCCGTCCAGCCTCTCACCGCGCTCTCGCGCCCAGCAAGGGCCGATGCTCCGGCTAGTCCAGGCCCGGGGAGTGGGTGGGGGGAGAGCCAGTCCTTCCTATCTGAACAGCCACCTCTCCTCGCCCTGCGAACAATGCAGCGCCCACCCCCACACTCAACGCGCACACACATTCCCCATTCCCCGAGGCACGCTCCCCTGGCGGGCGGCGGGTCCCTCCACCCCAGGAAGAGAGCAATGGAACAGTTCACGGCCGCCGCGAGTTCCTGGTCTTCCTTCCTTTCCGGTGATAAACGGCGGGGCTACAAGCCAGTTGCTGCTTAAGATGCTCCACCCGCGAGCCTGAGCCTCTCTTGGCTCTGTGCGGGGGATGCAGATCCAGGACCCAGGGTCCTTCTGCCCCCTCAAGGCGCGAAGGCGTGACCCATGTTGGAGCGCAGACCCCCGGCAGCTCTGCGCTGCCTCGGTTCCTCCCTACGTGATCGTGTGCGCTCCGTAGCACCAGGGAGGAACCGAGTGTGCGTAAAAACCGCATCTTCCCCAGACACTTTGGCTGAGGTTGCCTGGGTGAGGTCCGGAGGGTCATGGACTCCCGGCTCCCCACCCTGCGAGCTCTGTATATAAGCCCAGCTCTGAGGAATCAAGGCCACAGGTCTTCATTTCCCCGAGGCCTGGCCCCGCCCTCCCCAACCTTGCCCGGCAACGACTCAGCAGCCCAAAACCTCTACTCGCTCTTCCTTTTGGCTTTGGGAGAGAAGCGGAGCAATGAGTTGAAAATCATCCCTGGATTTCTGCATCCTGTACACAGTAATCTCCTCATCCTCTCCTTCATTTTCCCACACTGCGTTCTCAGAGACTTCTGCTTGCCGGAGGGCAGCCTCGCCTATCCGCCTATCTGGAACGGCCGGTCCTGTGGCAGGAGCCCCACTGACGCTCTGACCAGGAGCTTCCCGAAACGTGCCTCCCTCCGCGGGTGCCCAAGGCCACGCAGAGGCGCTTCTCCATCCCCGCCTCACCTCATCTCCAGACACCTCTTGCCATCATTTCATCCACCCTGGTGTAAAACCCTTGCCCCCGCCCCACCCGGCGCTGCACCCCCTCCCTCGGCTGCTCCCGGCAGGCAGGCGGGGAGCCGAACGGACAGGGGCGCGCGGGAGGCGCGCAGAGCTCGAGAGCTCTCGGGCCGCCCGAGCTCGCAGCGCCTGGGGAATTGGGCTGTGGGCGAGGCGGCCAGGGCTGGCCTTTATCGCTCGCCCCGCTGGTGGTTTGAAACTTTATCAGCGAGTCTCACCACTCGCCGCAGACGCGCGGGGGGCGGGGGCGCGGCGAGGCGCCTGCTGCCGTGACGAGGCGCTCCCGGCGCTGAGCGCTTCTGCTCGGGGCACGCATGGCGCC